GAGAATATATTCATTTGGGTACATGCCCAGAAGTGGTATAGCACTGAATCTATAGATGACTTTTAGTAATATTGTCATTTCACAACATTAATTCTGCTGGTCTAGGAGCATGGAGACTCTTTCCATTGTCTAGTGCCATCCTCAGTTTCTTTCTTTATTGTCTTAAAGTTTTCACTGTAAAGGTTTTTCAACCCCCATGGTTAGGCTCATTCTTACATAATGTTTTTGCATAAATTTCATTAGTATTTTTATGTATATGGGTATTTCATCTGCTTGTATGTCTGTACACCACCTGTGTGTCTGGTGCCTCTGGAACTGGAGTTACAGACACTTGTGTGTAGCAGGCTTTCTTTTGGGCCACCAGCTAGCTCCCAAATCATGACATGGAGACTTATTATTAGTTATGAGTGCTTGGCCTTATCTTATGCTTGTCCCTCTGGCTCTTACAACTTAAATTAACCTGTTTCTCTTCATCTATGTTTTGCCTTGGGGCTTTTTACCTTTCTTTCATTTTTATGTTCTACTGTGTGTTTGGCTGGCTGGTGGCTGCCTGGCTAGCCAGCCCCAGGTGTCTCCCTCTCTTTCTCTCTCATTCTCTTTCTCTTGAGCCTACATTCCTCCTCCTAGTCTCTCTGCCTGCCAGTCCTGCCTATTCCTCTACTGCCTAGCTATTGGCCATTCAGCTTTTTATTAGACCAACCAGGCAGGCAAGGTAAAACAGCAACACATCTTTACATAATTAAACAAATGAAGCATAAACAAATGTAACACATCTTTACATAGTTAAGGTAATATTCCACAACAGTTGTGAGCTACTACATGTCTGCTGGGCATTCAACTAGGGTCCTCTGGAAGAGCAGCTGAGTGCTCTTAACCACCAAGCTATCTTTCTCTCTAGCCAGTGCTCTCCCTGTCCCCCCCCCCCAATAATTTCTTTGAAGTGATTGTATAACTGGGATATTTTTTGTTAATTTCTTTTCAGAAAATTCATTATTGATATATATATATGCACACACACACACACACACACACACACACACACATATATATATATATATAAAAGCTACTATTCTTGCATCTTGTTTTTGTATCCTATAAATTTAATGAAAGTATTTAGCAGATCCAAACGTTTTCTGGTGGAATCATTATGAATATTTAAGTATAGAATGAGGTCATCTTCAAATAGAGGAACTTGACTTCTTCCTTCCTATTTGTATCTCTTTTATATCCTTCTCTTATCTTATTCCTCTAGCTAAGACTTCAAACATTATGTTGAATGAAGTGGAAAGAATACACACCTATATATAATTCCAGATATTAGAGGAAATGCTGTCATTTTTTCCCATTTAGTATAATGTTGGTTATATAATTTGTCTCATACATCTCCATAAATAAAAATATATGTATATATATATATATATATATATATATATATATATATATCATTATGTTGAGGTATGTTCAATCTGTTACTAATTTCTTTAGGACTTTTATCATGAAAGTATGTTTTTTGTTGACACATACTAGGTTCATCTGGGAAGAGGGACAAAACCTCAATCAAGAAAGGAACAATTATTTCTCTGTAATGGGACACAGGTAAAACCATGAGACACATGGAGATACATAGATTAATAGAAATGGGTTAATTTAAAAGAGCTAGTTAGCAGTAAGCCTGAGCCATAGACCAAACGGTTTGTAATTAATATTAAGCCTCTGACTGGTTATTCATGTACTGGTGGGTGGGAGAGATTTATCTGTCTACTTGTCTCATCATAACCCCTCTGTACTATTATATTTATTATATATGTATTATATAACAGTATATATAAATATACTTCAAAAAATTAAAGCAAAAACCTCTTTAATTGTAAAAAGTGACCTTTAACTTGAGACTATGACTTGGTGTTTTCTCTTTTTGTTGTTGTTGAAATAAATATATTATTACTACAAGTCCTCTTTAACTATTTAAACAGAATTCAGAGTAATGCCTAAAGCATATTTGTGTATAATAGATAACAACTGAGTGATTAAAGAAATTTTGTTATCATAGAGCTAGGACTGGTGATTTACTACACCCTTATGACACTCTTAATGACATGGATCAAACTCCAACTCATTCTCACAGTTTTATATGCTTAGCATATTGAATTTGAGGTAAATATAGCCTACAATTACAGACCAATATTTCCACTGTTACTGACTGATGAATATTAGTTACATTATATAACCCACACAACAAAGAAAATGTGTTCTCACAAGAAATGCAACACCATATTTTGTATTTTCTGAATCTCATTTACTCCATACAAATTCTTCCCAAAATAGAGAAGCCATTATTGGTATTAACACTCAACTGGAAGTTCGTCATTTAATACAATGTATATATTTCTGTAAATTAAGGTATAGTTTGTAACTATATTTTGCAATTTTTCCCCCAAAAGTATTACTAAAAAAGATGATGGAAAATAAAAACAACTATGGACTAGAACTATTATAGTTCTGTTTTTGTTGTTGTTCTTATAAATTGAGTCTGGACCTTATCTTTTTACCATTTTGTAGAACTAGTTTTGGTATTGGATAGGCAAGGACTTAAGATATAAGGAAATGGGGGAAAACTGTGGTTGAATCTTTACATCTCGGTTTCATACTTTCAGAATGCCCTCTGTGGGTAAATATTCTTGAAGCTGCCATTATGTTCAAGCATTACCAGAAATTAAAGCACCAGGGCATGTTCCCACTTATGTACACTAAGGAAGGGTCTGCATCCTCAAATGTGCTGATCAACCCACTTGCACTGTAATTTTGAATTCCCCCCACTCCGTGGGCTTTCTTAGTGAATCATTGGAAGAAATATCCTTAAACGGAGATCCCATCCACCATGGAAGGTCATAAACTTGTTCCCTTTTAAATATCATTCACTTAATAACTATTCATAAGAATCTTAAAACCCAGCCGGGTGGTGGTGGCTTTAATCCCAGCCCTCGGGAAAAGACAGGCGGATTTCTGTGAGTTTGAGGCCAAGCCTCTAAAGAGTGAGTTCCAGGAAAGGCACCAAAACTACACGGAGAAACCCTGTCTTGAAAAACCAATCAATCAATCAATCAATCAATCAATCTTAAAACTCCACAAGGCAGAATTCAAGAGACTGCTCCCTACCTTTGGGCAGCCCACTCCAATCACTGGACTATTTGCTTATCTTTTTCAAATAAACTGTTCAAGTTGTCTGTTACTTGACTGATTTTTTTATTTCCTTCCAAAAGACAAAAACTCAGGGACCCCATAATGTAGTGGTTCTTAACCTTTTTAATACAGCAACCCTTTAGTACAGTTCCTTGTAGGTGGAGTTTTTGTCAGGGCCATCAGCCAGCTTACAAATAATCACACTGAGACTGACTAATTATAAATGCTTTGCCATTAGCTTAGGCTTGTTATTAACTAGCTCTTACAATTTAAATTAACCCATATTTCTTATCTGCATTCTACTATGTGGCTCAGTACCTTTTCTCAGTATGGCACGGTCAACTTGATTCTCTCTGGCAACTCTGGTGACCCCACCCTCCTTCACAGTGTCCTCTCCATTTGGCCCTCCCACCTATCTTCTTCCTGCCTACCTACTGACGAGTTGGTTCTTTATTAATCCAATGAGAGTGATACATATTCACAGTGTACAAAAGTATTATTCTACCGCAGTTTCTCATGTTGTGACTGCCCCAAAGATAGAATTATTTTCATTGCTATTTCATAACTGTAATTTTGCATATCTGGTATGCGACCCTTATGAAAGGGTCATTTGACATCCCAGAGGTTGAGAACCACTGCAACAGTTTTGCTAATTAGTTTGCAAGACTACAAGAGCCTATCTTATAAAAACAAACTTAAAATAAGTTGACTTTGGATTCTTCTGGATTTCAAACAACCTAGGAGCAATATTTAGATTGATTTCCTCTACTACGTCTGTTGGTTTGGCCAGTGCCTTGCTCATAAAAATATATTTTAAAGGCGTGAATGTAACTTGTTTATGTAGCTGTTCTATAGTTGATTTGGAGGCTGGAAAGATGGTTCAGTGGTGTAGTACTTATTATTTTTTCAGAGGACCTGCATTTGGTTTGGGGCAGCTCAAGCTGGCAACTACCTATAATGCCAACTCCAGAAGGAGGCCCTCTTCTGGCCACTGCCAGTTCTTAAAAATACACATACACATGAAAACAAAACAAACAAAAAATCAAAACCTTTACAGTAACTTCAAAAAGGTTTAGTTAGATTTAGAAACAACTGCCAACCATTACAAATTGTCTCACCTTAACTATGTAATTGTTAGTAAGAGCTAACAGGAGCAACTCTCTTGCAAGACAGTGAAATAGCAAGAGTATCAAAAGGCACACGGTCTTTTCTATATTACTTGTATTAAGACAAGTACTTAAAATCATTTAGTTTTGGAGTCAAATATATGTTTGGCAGTGTAAGTTCATTAGCTTTGAATCCTGGCCGTGCTGCCTTGTTGTGAGAGCTGGGTCAGGGATTGGCTTGGTCAAATCTTCCTTACCTCTAGGGTGGCTGTGATACACATCACAGAAGGTTAACTTAACGCGGTTTCTGGCACACAGCAGGTGCTCAGTATGGCCCCCATCATTAACTGTAAGGCAAGTTAGCAATTCAGTGCTAGTCGGAGCAGGAAGATGAGCCAGGCATTGTAACAGATTACCAAAGCCCCAAAGCTAGAAACTGCTCACATTATTTTGGATTACTCTTCGCTTCATGAGACACCACTTTCAAAACCAAACGAAGAAGCCGAATTTTAACTCAAAATATCCTCTAACGTTTCAGGGTGGAAGCGAACATTTTTCAGAACGTGGTGCCAAAGCTTAAAAACAAAGCACGATCTCACAAAAATCGACGCCATTCCAAACACTGTACTAGCTCGGTTCCCGGAAACCGGAAGCGAGGGTCCGTATTCCGCGGTCGTCGTCGTGCTGTAGCGCGACAGGGGCGGGGCGAGGCCGTAAAGCAACGCCGAGCCCGCCCGGCCTCCCAGGGCGCCCTTGGAAAGACCGTGGGTCATGGCTGGCGTGGCGCGGGGCAGCGGGGCCAGCCTGGACCTGCTGCGGTCCCTGCCGCGCGTGAGCCTGGCCAACCTGAAGCCCAACCCTGACTCCAGAAAACGGGTAAACGGATGGCAGCGGTGCGGGAGAGCTGGGCCGCGCCGCCGGGGTGGAGGACGCGCGTGCGCCCCGCGGGCCCTGGCCCCCGGCCTCCCGCGTGCGCCCCGTAGTACGGCTCCGGCTGAAAATGACCAAGATGCCAAGGGTGCGGAGGGCACACTCCGGGGAACTGCAGCATGGTTCATCCGCAGACCCCTCCAAACGGAAGTCCTTTAGCAAAGTGCCTGTCTCAGTGTAAAGGCCCTTACTGACTTTTTACTTCAGCTGTCCTAGGTGCAGCCCACGGCACAACTAGGAAAGCTGTTTTCTGTCACCTCTTATTGTAACTCAGTTTATTGCTTGTAGGAGGTGATAAAGTAAAGTAAAGGGAAGATATTGGTACGGAGTTAGAAAACACCGAAAGAGCACCCGACTCTACCGAGTTGTAATCAGCCAGTTTTTAATTTAAGGTGCAGCTGTCCTTGGTTCCCGTGGTCGGATTTGGGACTGAGGCACAGCTTAAAGGCGAGGAGGGCTTAAAAGGCAGGTCGCGATTACTTCATATCTGAGAACTGCCTCACTCTTTGCCACGTAGGGAGTTTACAGAAACCAAAGCGGTTAATCAGTTTTACAACGGCTTTACAATTCTGGGGAGGGGGACAAGGAGTCAGGGTCACCAGGAGCTTATCTTTTAGGAATTGGGAATGGGTTCGTAGCACACAATGGCGTTTTCCTTAGCTTGGCACACAGTACCTAACTAGTACTGGTTGGATGAATAAAAGGCATAGTAAAGAAATGTGCTATGGGGTGAACAAAATCCTGAAATTCACTTTTCCTTGTAGGAAAGACGTCCGAGAGATCGGAGAAGAGGCAGGAAATGTGGCAGAGGCCATAAAGGAGAAAGACAGAGAGGAACTCGGCCCCGGCTGGGCTTTGAGGGAGGGCAGACTCCATTTTACATCCGAATCCCCAAATACGGATTTAATGAAGGACATAGGTAAGGGTGTCTTTTCTTTTGAAGTACAAATCCCTAATTTCCAACAAGAATTGCATAAATAAATAATTTGGTAGAAACCTTATATTTACTTAGAAGCAAACTTGTTATACTGTTCCTCTGAATAATTTCCAGTAAGGAAACTTAACCTAGATTGTGTGTGTGTGTGTGTGTGTGTGTGTGTGTGTATACATACACACGTATACATACACACACACACATATATGTATATATATATAATGTTTATGGTATATTGTAGCTACCATTATTCTATAATCTGTTACTTTGGGTTAAACCTTTGTGAGTTTACTTGTTTGCGTGAGTGAAGTAAATGTTTAGAGAGGTAAATTGTTTTTAGTGGAACAAAGGAGGCACTAGTGCTTTATGTGTTTGTATTGTACTCATAAGTTTATTTTAAACCATCAGAAATGATGAAGGAAAACACAAAACAAAGCTTTTGATTTGAAGAGGTTACAGGAAGATTACTTGGTGTTTTCTAACTATTATGTTCCTGTTTTACAGTTTCAGACGTCAGTATCAGCCTTTGAGTCTCAGGAGACTGCAGTATCTCATTGATTTAGGTCGAATTGATACAACTCAACCTATAGACTTAACCCAGCTTGTCAATGGGAGAGGTGTGACCATCCAACCACTTAAAAGGGATTATGGGGTCCAGCTGGTTGAAGAGGTAACTCTGGATTTGTTTTGTTTGCTTGTTTGTTTTGTTTGGTGTATAGACACTTTGCCATAATAGTCTTTCCTTATCTGTGAGGGACACATACCATGTGCATGCTTCACTGTGGTCATTACCAAACTGTATAAACTGTATCCTTCTTTTTATATAGACATATGATAAAGGTTAATTCATAAGTTAGGTGTAGTGGGAGGTTAATAATAATTTGCTACAGTTGTTAGAAACCTTAACTCTTTGAAATGGAGAACTCCATCTCTCTGCTTAAGGTACACTGTAGTTCCTCTTTGTCATATCAGAATTGTTAGCATCTCTGTTCTTGTACGGTAAGAGAGAAATGTACAGTATTAAAATACTATGGCAGGGTGATGGGTGGGTAGCAGTGTAAAAATGATATAGAAAGGTGTAATTCATGTCAGGAAGGGATGGGGTTGAGCAGCACAAGACCTCCTCATGCTCCACAGCACAGTTTACACTCTAAAATGTACTGGAGATGCACTGTCCAGCTTGCACAGGGTCTTGGTTTGATTCCTAGCCTTGTAGAGCCAGTAACCGAAACCATGGAAGGTGAAACTGAGAGACTGCTTAATCAACACTTACCCCTTCTTGGGGGCTGGAGACATAGATCAGTCGTAAAGAACATTGGCCAATCATCCACAGGACCTGGGTTCAAGTCCCATCATCCATATGGTCGCTCACAACCATTTGTAACTTCAGTCCCAGGAGATCCACCGCCTTCGCTGGCCTTGATGGGAAGTGCATGCACGTGGTATGCAGATAGTCATGCAGACAAAACATACATACACACAGAATAAATACAAACATAAAAAATGTAGTTCATGCTAGCTGTGGGTACAGAAAGCTGATGTACATTCAGGCCACAGCTTTGTCTTCTGCTTCTGTGAATCTGTACATCTTTCTCCCTCATTGAAAAAAAAATTCCTTAAAAATTTTTTTAGATGGTTTTGTTTTTGCTTTTCAAGACAGGGTTTCTCTGTGTAGCTCTGGCTGTCCTGGAACTCACTCTGTAGACCAGGTTGGCCTCAAACTCACAGAGATCTATCAGGCTCTACCTCCCAAGTGTTGGGATTTTTAAAGGTGTGCGCCACCACTGCCTGGCTAGATTTCTTTATTTTATATGTATGCGTGTTTTGCCTGTATGCATGTGTACCATAAGTATCCCTGGTGTCCCCAGAGTTCAGAAGAGGATGTTAGGTGCCCTGGAACTGGACTTACAAATAGTTGTGAGCCACCATGTGAGTGCTAGAAACCAAACCCCCAACCCTGGAAGAGCAGCAAGTGCTCTTGACCTCTAAGCTCTCTTTCCCACCCCGGAAACATTTTTCTGGAATTATTTTTGTTGTTTGAGGCAGGATAGCTCTGGAAGGCTGTCCTAAAACTCACTGTGTAGACCAGGTTGGCCCCTGCCTTTATCTCTTCAGTGCTGAGATGACAAGCTTGTGCCACTACATCTGTTTACCTACCCCACACTTTTTAAAAAATAGTTTACATTGCAGGGTGACAAGAGCCGGCCAGAAACTCAAGTGCAGCTTGTGGCCCTGTCCCCACTCTTAGAAGCACACTCTAGGTCTGCCTTTTCCTGCCCAAAGCAGTTTTCTTTTTATTGTTTTTATATGTGTGAGTGTTTTGACTTCATGTGTGTGCCATATGTGCTCCTGGTGCCAGCTGAAGCTTTGGCTCCCCTAGGACTGGAGTTACAGACACTATGAGCCACCACATGTAATGTAATAAAATCCTGGCTTTCTGGAACAGCAGCTAGTTCCCTTAACTGCTTAGCCATCTCTCTAGCCTCCCAACTAATTTTTCTTATTATCTGGTGCACAACTGCGCTTCCATTTTATCTTTCTATCACCTAAGCCTTGTAAAGGTAGGTGCTTTATTATAGTTTCAATATTGACAATCTTAGCTCCGAAAGTTAATATTTATGGAAAAAAGGAATGAATTTAATCCCATTTCAACTTCAGTAGAAATTTCTGTTACACTGATTGACCAACAATTCATAAATAGATTAACTACATAGCCAAATAGTAACTTAGTGTCCACTAGAGGGAAGTATATACCCATGGAAGAAGCTTTTCAAGTTCTTTTTTTTTTTTTTTTTTGGTTTTTCGAGACAGGGTTTCTCTGCGTAGTTTTGCGCCTTTCCTGGAGCTCACTTGGTAGCCCAGGCTGGCCTCGAACTCACAGCGATCCGCCTGGCTCTGCCTCCCGAGTGCTGGGATTAAAGGCGTGCGCCACCACCGCCCGGCTTTTCAAGTTCTTTAAGACTATGAACCTAAAGATAAGCACTTTCCAGGTCTCATTCATTGTCTGATGTGATTCCAGCACTTGAAAGGCTGAGGCTGGAAGATTGCTGTAAGTTTGAGACTACCTTGAGCTACAAAGTGAATTCTAGGTGAGCCTTGGCTGCATTATAAAACCCTGTCTTAAAGAAAAACAAAACAAAGCAAATCCTAATAAAACCGGTTAAGTTCATTTGGAAAAGCAATACTGAAGACATGATTGAGCCTCAATATTCTACTATGGATGTGTAAAGAAAAAGACATGTACTTCATAGAAAATTCCATAACCTTGGCAGTATTTAAATTGCATGTCTCAGTATGCTTTAGGTACGTGTATATTATGCTAGCAGACATTATACTGAAAATTCTACACTGGGCCAATGATTGAATAAATGTAGTCACACAGTTATTGTAGCTTGTACATTGTTTGCCTTTTCTGAGTTTAGATTTGCAAGTAAATAGTGGATAATAAGATGGCTGTGATTTTAAGCACAGAATTATTTGGGAGTATATATTCTCAAGGAAAATAAAAGAAACCTGATTTGTAGACCTTCTTAAAAATGCAGTTTATAATACTTAAACCCTGGCACTAGCACCAGAGAAGAAGAGTGAGGTGGTGGAGCAGCAGAACCAGAGAAGTAACAGAGGAAGCTTTTTTCTTTTGTTTTTTGAGACAGAGTTTTTCTGTGTAACAGCTCTGGCTGTCGTAGAACTAACTGTGTAGACCAGGCTGGCCTCAAACTCCCGGAGATCCACCTGCCTCTGCCTCCTGAGTACTGGGATTAAAGGCGTGTGCCACCATTGCCTGGCCTCAGAGTAGTAATTGAAAAAAAAAAAAAATCACAAATTAATACATCAAGTCCCTAGTTTTAAATCAACAGTCTGTTGATTATAAAAATGCACACCATTATCAAATATAAAATGAAACTACATCCTATAGTTGATGGAATATTGAAATATATGAAATGTTCATAACGTGAGTGGAAATTAGTTTAGCCATACTAAAATGGCAAAAGCAATATGTTTTGAAGTTAGACAAATATTAGCATATACTGAGTGATGGGACTTTAAGAAGTTCATTGCTTCATCTTCTAGTGTTAAACATTCTGGGGGAAAATAGATGCATCCTCCATTTTAGAGAGTATAATAAAGTTGACAATGAGTACAAAATGGATCCCTCTCTCCCTTTTTTCCCTAAAGACAGCCAACCCCTTCAGTATTGTCAGATATTTTGTTTTCCAGGCTAGTCCAGACCCTTGCCTCCTCTATAACCTCCTGTTGCTTACTTAGGGATAAGGATGTTTTTATTTTATTATTAAAATTTTAAAAATGTTTAATATGTATGTGTGTTTTATCTGTATGTATGTCTATGTACCCCATATGTGTCTAGTGCCTGGGGAGGCCAGAAGAGGGCATCAGCATTGGATCCCCTGGAACTGAAGTTACAGATGGTTCTCAGGCACCATGTGGGTGCTGGAAATCAAACTGTGATCCTCTGGAAGAGCAGCCAGTACTCTGAACTGCTGAGCTGTCTCTCCAGTCTCAGGAAGATTTGTTTTTAGTCTGTATAATGGAGCATAATGTTGTAGTTAAGAACAGAGATGGGCTGGTAAAATGGCTTTGTGGGTAAAGGCCACTCAGAGCTGGAGACATGTGTTTAATCCCTGGAATCCACATAAAGGTAGAAAGAACCGCAAAATTGTCCTCTGACCTTAACATGCATGTTGCATGCTGTGATTACACACACACACACACACACACACACACACACACACACACACACTCACACACACTGGAATTTTCTTAGGGGCCTGCCCTAAGATTTCCTCCCAGAATCCTGGGGAAGATACTTTGTCTGGTGTGGGGTTATCTCAAGGAAAAGAATCTATGTACACCATGCTCTTTTTCATTTGTCCGTTTACTTTATCTCTCTAAGACAAAACTCTATCTATACAGCTTCAGCTCTGTCCTGACACCTGGTTCCTCTCTGTGTTACTTTTCCTGTCTTCTCATAGAGGATCCTAACTAAGCTTTCATGCTTTTGAAGGAGGTAGTTCAGGATAGAATTGCAGGTACTTTGGAGGGGGAAGCACAGCTGAAAACAGACCTTGTGCTGATTTGCCTTCAGCTAAGCTATTACTAACAGGCCTTGTTTTAACTTATGACAGGGTGCCGATACTTTTCAAGCAAAAGTTAATATTGAGGTACAGTTGGCTTCAGAATTAGCAATTGCTGCAATTGAGAAAAATGGCGGTGTTGTTACTACAGCCTTCTATGACCCAAGAAGTCTGGGTAAGTCTGTTTGGTGGTCAGTTTCTTCTTTATCTTATACTGCCTGTTTGCCTGCCAGTTTCCTTTTGAGTGCTTCTGTCATGCTCACAGCTGCCCCCTTCAGGCCTCTTTGGGCGCTGCACTCATGTACACATAACACCACTGACATAAATGGGACTCATAATTAAAACTAAAAGAATCTTGAAATATGTTTTTCAGAGGGGTGTTAGCTCATCTCAAGTGTTTAAAACCTTTCATCCCTCCTTCTCCCCTCTCCTTTCTGTCTCCCTTTCCTTTTCAAATTATAAAAAAATGACTTTTTTCAGCCTAGCTTAGATAGCTCAGTAGGCAAGACTCTGCAAGTCTGATCTTAGTTTGATCAGGTGGAAGGAGAGAGCCAATTCTTGAAAGTTGTCATCAGATCTCCATGTGCAGAATAGCATATAGGATAATAATAAAAAAATGAAAAAAATTATAAGGAGTTGTTTCTGTTTTCTTACTTAAGCCTGTTTAACAAGAAGTTCTTGGAATTCAGTTCTCATCTCAGTGAATTAATAACTAAAGAATGTCCAACATAGTTATTATGTATAAGCCAGTCTTTACATCTCTCTTTTTAAAATTGTTTCTAGACATTCTGTGCAAGCCTGTTCCATTCTTCCTGCGGGGACAGCCCATCCCAAAGCGAATGCTCCCACCAGAAGCACTGGTGCCATATTACACTGACGCCAGAAACCGAGGCTACCTGGCTGACCCTGCCAAGTTTCCTGAAGCAAGACTTGAACTTGCCATGAAGTATGGCTACGTTCTTCCTGATATCACGAAAGATGAACTCTTCAAAATGCTTAGTGCTCGGAAGGATCCAAGGCAGATCTTCTTTGGTCTTGCTCCTGGTTGGGTGGTGAATATGGCAGATAAGAAAATTCTAAAACCTACAGATGAGAATCTCCTCAAGTATTACAGCTCCTGAACTCTCTTCCAGTAAGCAGATGTGTTGAGAACCAGACAGGAGCTGAAGCAAGGCTTCTTGTGGGTCTCCAGTCCTTGGGGTTGATAGTAGCCATCAGTGTGGTCAGGTCTGATTTAAATCACAGGCAGTAAAAGCTCCACAGAGGAACTGGACCTTTTTGGGTATATGTCTCAAAAATTCAAATGGGGACGGTCTTTAGAAAGGTGATGTTAAAAAATTACTTAAAATCATTTTCCCTCCCTTTTTGTTTTTGTTTGTTTTGAGGTAGGGTTTCTCTGTATAGCTCTGGCTGTCCTGGAATTGCAGTGTAGACTGACTAGGCTGGCCTCAAATTCACAGAGATCTGCCTGCCTCTGCCTCCCAAGTGCTGGAATTAAAGGTGTGCACCACCACTGCCCAGCCTAATTTTGACTACTTTAAAACGTCCTTTTACTGTCCATCCTTTTATGGTCTTTTCTTACCTGTTCTGTTAGAATGAAGGGCAAGTGTAGAGGATTGATTAGTAGTTCTGGGAGCAGGTGCTAAGGAGCTCTGGTTCTTTTTACACAATATCCCCAGTGAGTCCCCAACAGGGATGGAGAGGTTCAGAATGTGGCTGATAGCTGGTGAGTAGCTACAAAGGAGCTTATCAGTAGTGGAGCTAGAGAGAGAAAGAGCACAAATGAATTCATTTTCACAGCACTGGTAATATAGATAATGGTCAAACCATTACCACTTTTTTTTAAGAAGATAGTGTTCCAATTGATAAAAATTTATCTCAGACTTCAAGACATTTCAGTTAAATTTAGAAAACTTGTTCAATGATTATATAAGCCATATGTAAATAGGGATTTTGTTTTGGGTGGTGGTTTTTAAAAGACTGGCCTTGACCAGGATCCTGAGTCCTAGCGATTCTCTTGCTTCAGCTTTCCTAGCAGGTGGGACTACTGTGCCCAGCTTAAACTCAGTTACTGTAAAAGATTCAGACGTGAGCAAGCTTTTCAAAGAGAAATTGTGTTCAAATCTTGCAAAAGCTTAATTTGCCTTAAGTGATTATAGTTTTTGTTTGTATGAAACAGGGTCTCATGTATCCCATGCTATCCTTGAATTCCTGATTCATTCTTCCCATGTGTTGGGATTACAGCATGAACCACCATATCTTGTTGAGCAATTAAACGTTGATCCTGAATAATTCATTATAGTTCTTCCACAGTTAAAATGATCCTTAAAATAAAACGCAAAAGCTCATAAATCATGCAATGTATTTTTTTTTTTTTTTTTTTGGTTTTTTGAGACAGGGTTTCTCTTCGTAGTTTTGCGCCTTTCCTGGAGCTCACTTGGTAGCCCAGGCTGGCCTTGAACTCACAGCGATTTGCCTGGCTCTGCCTCCCGAGTGCTGGGATTAAAGGCGTGCGCCACCACCGCCCGGCCATGCAATGTATTTTTTATTGACTTTTATACCTTATGTTTTGCTGACCTGGGCTCTAGTTTATAAAGTGGTACACATGCCTAGAGTGTGTTTCAGTTTTCATTCAGGATTGGGTAGGGTTTTTGTTTTTTTGTTTTGGTACAAACTCGAGTAAGAACCAGGAGCTAAGAAGAATCATCCTTAGACCAACTTCAGTGATTGAATTTGAAACCTTTTTTTTTTCTTTTTGAGACAGGGTTTCTCTGTGTAGCCCTGGTTTCCTGGAACTCTCTTTGTAGACCAAAGTGGCCTTGAACTCAAAGATCTGCCTGTCTCTGCCTTGCGAGTGCTGGGATTAGAGGCATGTGCCACCACCACCTGGCTGTAATCAATTCTTAAAACATGTTTGTATTTTTCAGAGACCTGGTTAGTTTTAGCTCTGCTGGTGGGAACTGCAGACCCCACAGCGTGAGGGAAGCAGCGCTGTGCTCACAGGTGAAGTGCAGGAGGTGTTGCAGTTTGTGTCAGCTGTGCTGGGCACTGCTCCTTGGTAAACTCCTTTCTGATAATGAGGTCTAAATAGAGCCAGGCAGCAGCAAGCCAGTTTTTTCTAAGCAAAGTTAGAAGCTTCCACTCAAAACTTAAGTTTGTAGCTGTTGGCCAGACCTTGAATACAGTCCTGTTCTGAAGGGGCTAGAAGTCTGTGGCAGATGGTGGTCTTGGGTAAAAAGTCCGGTTAAAAGTGATGAGTAAGCAGGGCGATGGTGGCCCACACCTTAATCCCAGCAGAGGCAGGCAGATCTCTGTGAGTTTGAGGCCAGGCTGGTCTACAGAGTGAGTTCCAGGACAGCCAGAACTACACGGAGAAACCCTGTCTCGGGGAAAAAAGTGATGAATGAGAGAGTGAACACATTGAATAGCCAACAAGGAGATGCACATCTTCCCACTGAACTTCAGCTCAGGTGAATTGACTTATATCAGAGAAGTGGAGAAGTCTTTAATTCTACATCTGGAATGTTGAATTCAATGCTTTACATAACTATCACTAAATTAGTTAATTCTTTAATCTTTGGGGGGTTGGGGTCCTTACTAAGTCCCTTGCTGGCCTAGAACTCTGTAGACAGAACTGGCCTCAAACTAAGATCTGCCTGCCTCTGCCTCCCTAGTGCTGGGATTAAAGGCGTGTTCACTACACTTGGCCTTTATTAATCTTTTTGCAGAGGAATGATAGGAACCTGGGAAACTGCCTATGGAGGCATTTGTCTTATGTAGCTGCTTTTTTTTGGGGGGGGGGGTGTTTCAAGACAGGATTTCTCTGTGTAACAGTCCTGGCTATCCTAGAACTAGCTCTGTAGACCTGGCTGCCCAAACTCACAGAGCTGCCTGCCTCTGCCTCCTGAGACTGGGATTAAAGGCGTGCTCCACCACCACCACCACCACCACCACCACCACCACCACCACCACCACCACCACCACCACCACCACCTGGCAGTACGTATCTGCTTTGGAAACATTTTCATTGTAAAACTATGTTATGCTTCCAATATTATGTATTTTGAAAGATATATTTGAGGAGCTGGAGAGGTGGCTCAGAGGTTAAGAGCACAGGCTGCTCTTAACCTGAGGTCCTGAATTCAATTCCCAGCAACCACATGGTGGCTCACAACCATCTGTAATGAGATCTGGTGCCCTCTTCTGGCCTGCAGGCAGAACACTGTATACATAAATAAATATTTTTTAAAAGAAAATACATTTGAGTAGTCTAAGGGGAAAGAGCTAACAGGACACAATGAAGACTGCAAAAAATGTCCAGGTAAAAAGAAAATGTGTTTTAATTGTCAGCAGTGAGTCCCTATGGGTTAAGAATTGATACATTTTGGGCTGGAGAGAGATCTCAGCTTTTCAGGACCAAGGCTCACTGTAGTGGGTAGCCATTCCAGCTTGGTTCTGGAAGTTCCAACCCCCATTGAGACTCTGGCAACTGTCACGCCTACGAGGCGGGGCGAGGGGAGGCGCCTGGGGACCCGAGAGCTGGATGGGCCAGCGCTCTCTCTGGGCGCTCTCTCGGTGCTGGAACGCTGACCGGTGGAGATTGTGCAGAGCTCCGGAGAACACCGCTGGACTGCGTTACACCTTCTCCAGACCCTGCGACCTACCCATTACTTAATTTGTGAGTTACGCCATTAAATAAATATCCTTTTAACTACGTGGAGTGGCCAAAATAATTTCTCCAATAGCTCACAACCAAAACTTCAAGAATTGAGTACATTTTATTCTTTTTAAGTAATGGCTGGGGAAAAAAATTCTTAAAGCTCTGTATCAGAACAAAAGTTCTTACTTGTTTTGAACATGATTATAGTATTGAAGTATTTTAGTTCTGTAGCTCAGCATAGCTTCAAACTTGTCATGTATTAGAGGGCAACCTTAAACTCCTGCCTCTACCTCCTTACTGCTGGGGTTACAGAAAGTCTGCCTCCTCGCCCAGCTATTGAAGGTTTAAGAGGACCAAAGGTCCACATTCTGCTGCTGTTACACCCCTGTTTCTCAGAGGTCCCAGAACCAGTTCTCTCTAAGTGGAAGGATAGATTGTTGATAATGTTGGGGCTCTTCTTGCCTCAGTTTATTTCATTTATTTTTGGTAGTGGAGGTTGAGCTCAATTTAATCCCTGAGCTGTACCCCAGCATACAACATCTGTTTTAGATAGACTTCTGAGCACTTTACTACTTGGGGATTACACTGATCCTTGCTAGCCTTAGGTTGTTTAAAGTGAGGTGTATCCACAGACAGGTCACTTCCCTTTGTTAAACTGAAGGGCAGTGTCAGTCTAAAGCAATGAGAGGTGTGTGGCAGACAGCAGTCTCTCCCTGCCTCTGCACCAGGGCTTCACATGCCTGGTGACACTACCCCTCCCTCTGCCTCCAGTGCCAGCTGTAGCTTCTCAGTGAGGGACACAGGTGCTTCCTTGATCCGAGGAGAATTTTGACCTCAGCCTATCTGCATAGAAATGAATTTCCTTAAATGTAAAGACATCCTGTAACAGTATGTGTATGGGGTGTGGGAGTGAGCGATCCTGTTGAGTGTGCTGTAGCCTAGGTAAGTTTCTGCCTTGCCTCAAGCACGACTTTCCTTTGGTGATGCAATTTACCATTGTAGGTCTCAGACACTGCCTCCACAGGAAAAGTTCTTCGTGGGAAGTGAGAGAGGATATTAGTCACCTCAAGGAAGACCATACTGCAGTCTTCCATCTGAAAATGTGCTTTGAGGGTCCTTGGACTCTCCTCTCCCATCCCGCTAAGCAGAAGGACTAACTGCTCTCTCCACATTCATAGCACTGACAGCCAGCATGGGCTTTCTTCATTTGGTTGTCTTTGGTGGCCTACAGGTGGAAGGAAATTGGGATAGAATGATAAAGGGAAAAATAAAAACAGGAAACAGATGTCTGGTGATGTAGAATGTTTATTTGGAGATAGGGACTTTTTCACAAACAGCTGTATCCGGGTTGTGGTACTGTAACCCCACAGCTCATTCTCAGCCAAAACAGCATGTTCCATGAAATTCATGTGGTATACTCTAGGCTTTGTGCCATTTAAAGGGGCACAGAAGAGAGGAACAGTAGAAAGTGGTAGCTATAAGAGTTCCTGTCACTTGAGAATCTACCTTTAAAAGCAATAAAGTTTCAGTTTAGATCTGTCCTTTCCTGGAATATGTCTTCATCTGTTCTCATATGACTTTTGGTGGCCAAACCCCAAAAACCTTGAGTTAATTTATGTTTTAAAAGTAGTTTTTAGGGCCAGGCATAGTTGTATATGCCTTTAATCCCAGCACCCAAAAGGTGGATCTGAGTTCAAGGCCAGCCTGGTCTACAAAGTGACACTGTCTCCAAAAGCCAAAACAAAAACCACAAAACCATTTTAGGACTGGGGAGACAGCTTGAGTGGGTACTGTGTTTGATGTGTATGTGTGCAAGCTCTAACACTTATGTGGACCATATGAACAGTGTACATGGGCATCAGAGGGCGAGTAGATCCCTGCAGGCTCAATGGTGGCCCGTTTAGCCAAAAGGAGAGCTCCAGGTTCAATAATAAGAAACCTTCATTAAAAAGTGGGCCAGAGAATGGAAAGTGTCAAATGGGAACAGTACTGCTCAATTCACCTTGGGTAGAGGAGAGGGCTCTGACCATAAGGGTTGTCTATTTGGAGACCTTGCTGCAAGCAAACCATGGCACAGTATAGCTGTCCTGTTACGTGCCTGGACCTGCAGAGTCATCTGGATGGAACACAAGTCTAGGGCTTAAAGCAGGACTAGATGTGGGACTTAGCATGTGGTTTATTCTCTGCCTCATTTTGACCATCTGAGAAATGGAATGTAAAATACAAATTCAGTTTGTATAAAATACAAATTATCTTAGGGTTTCTACTGATATAATAAACACCATGACCAAAATGATGTTGGGAAGAAAGGGTTTATTTGGCTTGTACTTCCACAGCACTGTCATTGAAGGAAGTCAGTACAGGAACTCAGACAGTTGGAACCTGGATGCAGAGGCCATGGAGGGGTGCTGCTTACTCGCTTGCTCCTCAATGTTTGCTCAGCCTGTTTTCTTATAGAACCCAGGACCACCAGCCCACCACAATAGGCTGGACCCTCCCCCATCAATCACTAAGAAAATACCCTACAGACTTGCCTAGCTGGATCTTATGGAGGCATTTTCTTAGTTGAAATTCCTTCATGTCAGATGACTATGACAAGTTGACATAAAACCAGACAGAACAATTATGAGAATTGAAAGCAGTCAGTGTAAAGCATGGAACACATGACTTGCCTTGTCTGCTGAAGTATTGGTGA